GAAATCTTAAACCTCCCCCTCCTCCCCCCCCCCCTCGCCGCTTACCGGAAAGAACCAGAGCTCTCCTCGACCAGCGCCCGGTGGTGCTCCTCCATCATGGCGGCCGACCCCGCAGACCCGGAACGTCTCCACTCCGCGCGCTCGTTGTGGTGGTGGCCCAGGCCCCCGCCGCTGCCGCCGCTGCTGCCGCCATTGCTCCCCAGGCTGCTGCCGAGGGCGCTGGTAGAGAGCGGCCTTCCAGTGAAGATCGGGGATCCTCTACCCTGATGGCCCTGCTGCTGCTGCTGCTGCTGCTGCTGCCCCTGCTTATTGTGTTGCTGCTGCAGGCGGAGCTTAGTCAGCTCCTTGAGCTTCTCCACCGAAAGCCCCGGGCCGAACACGGGCCTCTGCCCTCCCCCTCCTCCTCCGCCATCGCCAACACCTCGGGGGACACTACCGCTACCTCCCTGGCCATGAGCAGGAATCCTGCCAACAGGGTGTTTACAGGGACAAAATAATCGATCGCGGTTTGTCATCAAAAGGGGGGGGCAGAAAACGACGAGCGAAACACATGGGGGGCTTAGCTGCCTGCACAACAAGCGAGTGACACAACGAACGCATTCCCCCTTTCAGCCCTCTCATGGCTGTGGCGTAACAAAAACGTCGGACTAAACGCCGACAAAGAATCTAATCGAAAGAACCGTTTTTCCCTCAGCCCTCAGCCCCAACAACACAAAATCGACCGCACTTTCTTTTTTTCTTTTACCGGCAGTCCCGGGGCTACTTGCCTGCTACAGCTAGTGTACAAACAATAATAATTCTTTACACCCCACGTTCCAAGTGCATGGAACTGAAAAGGGATAGGAGGCAAAGGGATGCTGATTGATTGCTGATGTCAGCTCATGTTGCATGTGCATATGCATTTATGTACATGCCACAAGACCCTGGGGTTACGTGAGTACATACATAGACAGCAGCCCGTAACGACCTTGGGTTTCATGAACACTAAAAGACTTCAAAATATTTACTAAAAGTGGAAAAAAGTGCTGCCCAAGACTCACGGGTCTTCAGGGGATGCCGCGTACATTCGGGGTGCCGAGATGCCCCTGCGAATCCCGCGTTCCGGCGGCTGCTGGTGTGCTTGGTGATGGTGGTGCTGCTGAATTTGGCAGACGGAACGGATCGGGACTGATGTTGTCGTTGGTGCGCATACAACATGATGAGTAAGTACAAGAGAAAATTTCGTACACAAGTATTAAGAAAAAAAAAAAAAAAAAGAACACCACCAACCACCCTGACAGGAAGGTATACACGGACTTGCGTGCGCGTGAAAAATAACTGCGTGGGGAAAAAACGCCCAGCAAAAGCTGGCGCGCGCGCCGCAGCAAAACGCGGCACATTCATGAACCCGGCGGTGCACCCAAAGACACACACACACCAGTGTATGAACGGCACTGATGATGTTACTGCCGTATATACGGGAGAGGGGTACCTCCTGCGCGTTCTGTCTAAACGATGCTGAAACACCGTTTTTGTAGGTGCAAACAAACGAAGGGCGGGCGGGGGTAGTGGTTGTTGTTGTTGTCGGGACCGACAACAAATACCTATACCATCATTCCGAAGACAGACAAGGCGTGATTGATGATGCGATTACACGCATGTATCGAAAATCATTTTCAAAACTTTCGATGTTGCGACAGCACGACAGCAGCAGGCAGCAGGACAAGAAAAAATGGGACGCACCCACACACACCGGCGGCGGCGGCGGCGGCAACACACTTCTATTCTAGTATTCTGTGCCAAACGCACACACGTACGCTCTTTGTTTCAGTGTTATTTTCTTGCGATTATTTACCTCTTTTTGGGATTTTCTTCAGCAGAGCAGCCAACACCGCCGCCGGAATAACGAGGGTACTTCAAGTTTATGGCTTTCCCGACAGAGAGAGAGAGAGAGAGAGAGAGAAAGAGATTATAGCTGCCTGCACGAAAACACCATGATGTTCGAGACGTACCAGATCCGTGCTTGCGCAGGGTGAAGCGTTGCGCCCCCCCCTTTTCCCCGCGATTTGTTTGAAGTCTTACCGTGTGTTGCTGTTGGCCACGTCCGCCCCCTCCAGATGATCGCTGCTGTTGATGCTGGCGAGAATACAACGACGGGCTTCCCGCTGACGAATGCCGTCCAAGCAGCAACTGCTGCTGTTGCTGGTGTTGGCTAGGGGGAAGGTCGTGCTGCTGCTGCTGCTGCTGCTCGCGAGCGGCCCGCAGCATGTGGTGGTGGTGGTGGTGGGGAGCAGACAGCGGCCGCCCTGCTGCCAGCCCTCCTCCCCCTCCCCCCATCAGGTCCGGACTGCTGTTGCCATGAACCAGCCCTGCCGCCCTGTGGTGGGAGCTGCTGGACAGCTGGTCCGACCCCGTGGGAGATCTCAGAGAGGACGACAGCAACGAGCCTGTGCCACCACCTCCATTGTTGTTGCTGCCAACGCCCCCAGCCCGGTGGTCGCCCCCGCCGCCCCCGCCGTCCTGCTGCTGAGCCATGCGCATCGCCGTCATCTGCTTGAGGTCCTGCACCGACATCATGCCGAGGCGCGAAGTGTTGTTGTTGTTGTTGTTGTTTTCTGGGTCGCCGGTGGTGCTGCCGGCGCTGCTGCTCTGGCTGTTGTTGTGCTGGTGTATCGAGGGCACCTCGAACCTCTCCTGCTGCTGCTGGAGGTGGTGGTGGCGGAGGGGGCCCCCGCTGCTCTGCTGCATCGCGTGTTGTTGGCTGGGGTGGTGTTGGTGATGATAGTGTTGCTCGTGCTGTTGCGGTGGTTCCTCATACGGGGATGAGAAACCGTATCGCTGTTGATGGGAAGAAGCCACCGCTGCCGCCGCCGCCGCCGCGTCTCCCGAAGATGTGCTGGAGTGCCGGTCATGGCCGTGATGGTGTGGCCATAGCTGCTGTGACGATTCTCGAGAGAGATGCCCGGATGACCTAGGGTGGCGTCAAGAGAGCGAGCGAGCGAGAGAGAAGGAAAGCAATTGCTGTCTTGTCTGATTCTCTCCTTCCTTGCAATGTAAGGGGTATGAAGAGGCGGCAGTGTGCGGGCTACCGATTTTTTTTTAACGCGGCGTAGATGAGGCCGTCCGTGACAACCCCCTGGCACAACACATACCATTTCACATGCGCCACGGCCAGAGCCGGCGTGTCATCTTCCATCGCCAATCGTACAGCCTTCGCAGCTGTAGTAGGTGCCTACGTGCCACCCTTATCGTTCAAGCTCATCAGCAACGCGGCAGCTTGCCCCGTGAAATTTTACGGGAACCTGATCAGAGGTCCAAAGTGCAAAACACGTGGGCTCGAATACAGCAAAATGAGCTTTTCGGAGGCGCATGTCTCGCTCTCATCCGCCTACGCTGGGGATGCCCCCGGTCTCCTCAGGCAAACACCCGTGACTTCCGCGAAACTCACCCTTCCATCTGGAGCGCCGCCGTGTCCTCTCCCCTTCCAAAAGTGTGTGTAATCTGCTCTGATGCGCTCTGTCTTGCCGCCCTCCTCTCTCTCTGGCTCCCACAAACATAAAATAAATCCTCTTCCAAGACGAACAATAGGAAGATTCACGCGCGAAAAAAAAAAAGGAGCAACCCCCATACATATCTAAAAAAAAAATGTGTAACGGCGCAGGCAACAGCAAATAGATTGAATTCCTCGTCGTCGTGGAAGCAATTCCCCGGACGCCAGCCGTGCTCGGGCTCAGATATCCCCCGTCTTGCGTTTGCCTCATGGTAACTGCTCTGGAGTATTCTGCCTAGGTCACACTAGCAGCATGGTCAAGCACAAAGCGAAGGCACGAAAGGTGAGGCATGGCAACGCAGGTGTCTTGTCTGTTTCTGCGGCGGGCATGTACAAAACCCCTTACACTACAGGTACACGACACGTTTCGTATGTACTCTGTACATGTAGTTCGTCGGGACTCCACTTGTGTGTACACGAATGCGTGTACTACCTTCCAAACGAACATGGTACAGCATCACAGGTAGTGTAATATATAGAAGACAGTGCCGAGGAAAAGGGTACGACAAACACAAACAACCTTCCTTGGAACTTCACCGCTAGCGGTCAGGAACCTGGCGCTCTTGGCTGGCTGATACCGTCCACAGCGACTGCCCACGCATCTTTTTTTTTATGACGATTCAGCATGCCGCTGAGATCCAGCAGGACAAGAAGGACAAGCAGGAACAGCAGGATCAGGGGCCAGAAGCACAACAAGAATCATCCGAGCGGTTCACGTGCGAGTTTCATGATGACTTTCAAGGCATAGGGATGTTGCTTGACGTCGACGAGTGCGGACGGCTTGTGGTGCAAGAGGTGAGCATCGGGTACAAAGAACAAACCCGCCGGCGAACATACCTGCATGTAGACAAGGTAAGTTTCAGTAGCACGTCAAGGAACAGTCATAGGTTTGACGAGGTACTGTAGACGCATGTGCTACTGGAGGTTGCTGGATACACAAGAACACAGCACCATCCCTCTTGACACAGCACCATCCCTCTTGACCTGGCCTGGACATGTGACACAGCAGTATCTACTTGTAGCAGACAATCTGGACCACCCGTGAAGGAAACCTGCTCGCAGCTTTACAGTAGTCTAGATGGAGAACGTCTGCAGCCGTTCTCCTTGATGAGCACCTTGAACCTTACACTACGCGATTTCCAAAGCGCGCACACTGCCGGACTCCCGTGAACGCAGCACGCGCAATAATTGTGACGTGAAAACGTGCACACACCTTCCGTCAACTGCCGAACCATCTGTCGTTGTGTGCATAGAAACACGCATTCTTCGTGCATATAATACACATCCACGTTGACTTCGCGTCTTCCTCGAATACGTTGTTGAAAACATCACACAAGTTGACCGAATGATACCTGCGACTTCGTGCCCGATGGGGCAGGCTACCAATCAATCAATTCTGGATGTGGAGTAACGAAGTACGATACTCGTCTCTAAAGGGCTTTGGGGCCCCGTGTTAGGGAGCACCCGATTCGCAAGGGTATCCGTCGATTGACATTTACCACAATCGGTATACCTTCGCAGCCGCTCGAGTTATTGAACGTCAGAGATTGACATCTCAAGGCGGGGGCGCTGAAATTCGCTCAATTTTTTGTTTGAATAGTCTCCGTCGTTCGATTGTTCGAGAATAGCATCAAACAACTTTCCGTGGACACGGCGGTGCCGCCGTTCATCAACTCGTTTCGCATACATCGTTCAGGTGAACTTGCAAGGGGAAGCTGGAAAGTACCCGACTCTCTGCCAGCAGAATCTGCATATCGTGGCGGTCGGGATCGCCGGAGAAAGGGAGGAGAGCGCGGCGGATGAGCTCCTGCGACAGCTTATGACGCTGCCACGCCCCGTGCGCGTAGAATTCGCCACGACCACTGCAGCCACTGCAGCCTCAACTTCCTCTGCACCTACGGGGGCCGTGGCGACGTCGACCTTCTCTGGGGCGGCCCATTCGTCGCCGCCGACCAGTCGCGACCTTTCGAAGTCGATGGAACCGGCTGCTCTCCCTGCGGAAGAAGCGCATGAGGCACCGGCGGAGGAAAACGCCAAAGCTGAGGCGGAAGACGGGCATGAACAGAGACCTGGTCTCCCGCTCGCCGGAGAAGAACAAGAACAAGCGCCAGAAGGAGAAGCTTACGATCACAGCGACCAGTCCGTCCGTACCACCGCGGAAGAGGACGAGGGGGTGGGGGGGCATTCCCCTTCGCGGCCGCAGCGACATGAAACGCTCCCCGGTCGGGATCGAGGGGGTCGTGTTGACGACAAGGGGCCAGGACCCACGGCGGTAGAGGGTGAACAAACCATAGGAGGAGGGGAACGAACGACGGAAGAAGATCACTACAGCAAGGAACAGCTCCTCCTCATGAGCGAGGAGAGGCGCCGCCAAGCACCCCGACGGCCGCAGCGGCATGGAACGCTACCGGAGGGCAGCGATTGGGAAGAGAATCTCCGTAGCGGTGGGAGCGGGACGGCTGCCCCTCCTCTGAATGCTGCCAGCGCTGTTGCTCCCCAGACCGCTCGCTACGAACCTGGTAACGAGGAAGCGTCGTGGTCGGTGGCTGAGGAGGCCAACTCTCGCTCCAATCCAACCTATGGGGCTAGCAGCCTGGCGAAGTCCTGGTACAGCCCGAAGGCTAGAGGTAGCCAGATGACGCTCACACCGAACGGCTCCGACTCCTCAGCTAGGAGCAGGTTCACAGACGGAGTTGAATCGATCCACCGTTGGCTGCATGTGAGGAGATCCTTAGAACCAGCACACTACAACCTCTGGTTCTCCGAGGTGCTGACTCCAACCCTGACTGGATATACTCTGGAGCTACTAGAGCCATTGCAAGAAGTAGTGGCACCATCGGGTTGCATCCTCTCGTACACATGGCAAACAGTGGGTCAGTTCTCGATGGGTCAATGTGTATGTTGATAATACCTATTGTAGCACAGCGTAAAGCGGAGGAACTCTTCCGTCTTCCCCCTGGGACGGTATTCTCTGTGGCTACTGCTTTTCCCTCAACCCCCCCCCCCCCTTTATCGCCATCGTGCATTACTTTGGATGGCGATCATGACTCCTACTCCCTTGTCTTTTCACTTCCAGGACGACTCCGACGACAGCGAGAGGGGAGCAAAAACAGCCAGTCCCCGCCACTCCTGGTACACGGCCAATCGAATGAGGGGTGGGCACGCCTCAGATGTCAACCATTCCACCCCTTTCACTCGCGCAGCGGCGCTGGCCAAGGCTCGCGCGTCCGAACATCAGGCGTCTCCACTCCCGAGAGAGACCGAGGTGACAGCGGCGGGAGAGGATGGGGACGAACCGGCGCCGCCGTGCAAGGGTCCCCCCACGGACCAGGCAAGCAAGGTCGTGGTAGCATCACCAGCCGACGGTGGTGGCGGAAGGGATGGCGGCCGTCTGCCTAACGCCGTGAGCGCGAGACAGCATCGGTCGCCTTCCTGGTACCGGGAGGACAAAGGGAAGGAAGGAAGAAGCAGCGGTGATGAGGGGATAACGCCCAAACAGGCTCAAGTCGTTGGCGTCGCGGGTGGCGAAAGCAGTGGCGGAGTTGACGATGCCGATGCCCTCACCGACGCTCCGAACAAGGGGACAGTGACAAACGACTCCCGATTTGCCGCTAGTGCTACCGATCACAAGAAGACGGGTCCCACGACGGCGGCGGCAGGACGAGGAAGCGCGAGCGGCCAACAGCCTTCCAAGGCCGTGCCACGCACAGGAGCGGTCAGTGCCAGGCTCCATCACTCTCCATCTCACATACTACGAGGAGGGGCGACGCTTGGTAAGCAGGACATTACTCCAGGGACGACAGGATCGGCCACAATGGCAACAGCGGCTGACGGGTCGAACGCCCGAAGCTCGCTCGCGACTGAAACCAACGCGGCAGCGACAAAGACCGCCAACAACGCGATTCAGAACCGGGCGGCTCCTGCTGGTACGACAGCGACAGAATCAACAGAAAGGGCTTCACAGTCGGCAGCCATGCAGAAACGAGCAGCCGCAAAGGCAGAGTTGATGCATTCATTTTCCCCCAGCGTTACCGACAGCAAGCCTGGCACTCACCGCAGAGGCGAAAACACACCAAGTGCAAGCATGACGAGCCAGAATCGGCGCGTCGACGAAGAGCCTGCTGCTTCTGCCACCACGGCGAGAGGTGTCGGGGTCACGGCCGACCGTCACCAACGCCGGAGCACCAAACTATCAACGAGAGGCGCTCCTTCCGTTGCGGCTGCTTCAAGCAGACGCCAACAACGCACGGCGGCCGAGTACTCAGCAGCAGCTTCGTCCGTCGACGCCCGGCAGCAGCGAGGGGGAGGAACTGGCGTAGGGAGCAGAAGGACCAACACTCAACAGCCACCGCCTCCGCAGCAGCGCACGAGAATGAACCCGTCGATCGTTCCGGCGGACGCACCTCCCGACAACGACAACGACGGCGGTGGTGACGGCGAAAACGACCACGCCGCGGCCGCACCCAGCTCGCGAAGGTCCTTCGTCGACGACGGGGGAAACGCCGGCGGTGGTTTGAACTCGTTGCAGAACTACAAGCCGTTCTCGAGACGGCAGAATGGAAGGCGAACGCACTCTGACGGTGTGATTCTCGGAAGGGGGCGATCCACGTCGCTCAGGCCGTCCTTCTTCCTTCCCCTTCCTGAGGAGGACGAGCCCTCGCCGCCTCCACCTCCGCCGCCCCCGCCCCCGCCGCTTTCTCTCGGCGGAAGGCGGCCGAGCGTCGGCCCCGCCAACCCGCGGGCGATGTATGGGCACGTGCCACCCCCCCCACCGCCGGACGAGCAGCCACAGGGCAGCGTTACCCGGCGCCCCTCTGTGGTTGCCCTGCCACCGCCTTCCCCCGAAAGTTACCGAGGAGCGTCGATGGCATCGAGGGTCACCTTGGCTGAGTCGTCTGAACCTGGTGGTAGGTCACGTGTGGCGAGGTTCGGGGCAGCTGCCAATGATCGGCGAAAAAAACCCGGCGAGACGGCACGGACAGAGTCGGGACGGTCGGCATCGGCGTCCTCGATGCGAAAGAGCAAGAGCAACTTGGGAGAGAGCAATCAGACGAACAAGAACAGCAGAGCGCCCAACGGGCAGAAAAGAGGCACCGGCGTCGCGTCTTACCCCAACCTCCTCGCCGAGAGAAGCCAGGGAAATATCAAGGTGGAGAAACTCCAGCTAGTCCTGAACAACACTAACCCTAGAGAGGAAGAAAACGGTTTAAGGTATGCTCAAAGTGGAAGGAGCCGGGACCCAGGGAGGCAAGGAGCGGGCGGCGGTGTCGGCAGTGCGGCGGACCGACCTGGGGAGACTAGCACGGCCTGGCGAAAGATGGCAGCGAGGGACACGGCGGCCGCGCTCGATTTCGCGGAGTCGAGCGTGCAGGAGCTGAGGAAGTTGGCAGCGGCCACGGCAGCAGCCAGGCAGGAAAGCTCGTCGTCTTCCGAAGGTGGCGGTGAGGGCGACGGTGGCGCGAACAACGGACGCCGCCGTAGATCAAGCACAGAAAGGGACGAGTCACCAACGAGGTCGATGTCGTGGGAACAGCAGCTCCGCACGACGACCGGTGTCAACAGGGACCCTGCCGCTTCGAACACGACCAGGCGCCGTCAGAACAGCACGGGCAAGATGAGCCGGCCGTCTTCTTTCACGGGGCTTCGCGTAGGCGGAGAACAAGAGGGAGGAGCAAACACCCGCCTGGAGGGAGAAACACCGGAGAAGGTGCGTCGAAACGCCGGCAGTGCTGGTGCTAAGTACGGTACTATCCAATAAAGACGCGAAGACAAGACACGAGGCCAGGTTATGTTATCACACTTGTTCGCCTTTTTTCTTTTAGTGTGTGCCATGTTGGAGTCGGTGGCACAACAAGTGGTCGGGGTTCTCCGCGTTCACACAGTCATATTCTCTTCGCTAAGAACCACGTATCCTCGCGGAGCCGGTTATTTGGCGTGCGCGTAAGACATACACAAGACAAACCACTGCCCTTCCCGCTACCGTTGCCATTTCCGGTCCCTTGACACCTCAGAAAACCGAAACAGACAAGGGTTTGAAGGGCGGCTCGGCACAAAACGTCGTGGCCTCTGCCCCTCCACCGCCGACTACCCCTCCTCCGATCGCGTGGAACCGGCTCCAGATTGACGTCGGGAAGACCCAGACGTGGGGAGGAGCTAAGGAAAGCGGCCAACCGCCCGCGGTTGACGAGCACCAACACGTGAGCGGCGGCGGCGGCGGCAGCGGGCAAGCGCCGGTAGCGGCAACGACGTCGAGGGGAGGAGTTCGCGGCCGAAGTAGCACTGGCCGTTTCCGAGCATCCTCCACTGGCCGGACTAGGTATGCGGAGAAAAATGTTGGGGCGGAAACGTTTGGCTGTCCGGTTAGCTTGCGAGTTTGAAAGTCGTTGGTTGCCATGGTTACGCTTTGGTTGGGCTCGTGGAAGGAAGAAGGAAAAAGGCTGTCGATCATACTTTATTTTATTCTCGACGATGTTCCTCCTGAATCACCACTAACCGCCTTCGCCACCGCCGCCGCCTTTTCGATACCTTCTGCTGTCAGGGCCCACTCGTCGTCTCGTGTAACGTCTTCTTCCGCTGCCTCAAAATCAGCGGCGGTCGCAGCGGCGGCGGCGGCAGCAGCGGCAGCAGCGTGCTCACAGCTCCGACCGAAAGGGACGCGAACGACGCCAACCCGCGCAACTGAGGCAGCAAGGGCCGCGGCGGCAACGGCGGCAGCGGGGGTGGGGTCTGCGACGATGCAAAATGGCAACGTTGAGGGCAGGGAGGCGTCGCAAGGCCCCGAGGTTGCCCGGGTACGCGTGAGCGTCCGCTCGAGCGTTTACCTCATCGTGGCGGAAGTCGAGAAGGCCGGCTCGATGCTGTTGGACCAGGTGTGTACGGGGGAAGCGGTGCCCGCTATTGGTTCGACTGCTGGTTCGGTCAAGAAGCTAGCGAAACGTAATGAGTTTTTATGGCGCGGGGGGATAAGGTCCGTGATGTTGATTTGAGTGCTGATTCATCAATTGGCTTGGATACGTGAGAAAGTATAACCAGTTTTTTCAATTTTCATCTATGCTTATTGCTTCATTGGTGGAATCGACAGGTTTCAGAGGCTGAGAAGCTAAGGCACGGCCAAAATGCGGCGACGGTGACCGGCCTGACGAACGAATCCACGGGGGATACCGTGGACCTGGATGTACCAGCGGAAAGGTGATACTCCCCAGCACGGGAGTAGCTGTAGCTGATGCCACGAGAGTTGTTGTTGTAGATAGAGACGCAACTTTGATTCACCCCGAAAAAGTGCACCTCTTTGTGGAGAAAGGCGGCTCCGAGAAACCGCTCATCGCCTCAAGCGGAACCGGGCAACAATTTATTGTCTGCCTGAAATAGGGAGCTTCCGACACACGAACTCAAGCTTTCGATGCAGACCACGTTAATCTTTGTTCAAGGCATACCCCCTGCACTCATAACGAACAAGCATTTGTCCGTTTGGTCCCACGAGACACGAAGTACTCCCAAGTAAACACCGGCACCTTCCAGCTTCAGGTTGGCTTCTGGTACTCGTTTTCCATGTCATGTTTTGGACACCCCTGCTGGTGTGATCCGAGTCCAATACCGTTGTCCCCCAATCCCCGCCGTGACGGTTCCTGGCTGGTATTCCAACGATATCTTCAGTGGGCTCACGATCGTGCTCCGCCGCACCCCCCCCCCGTATCTCGCGCAAGAGCAGGTCGATTTCTTCGGGAGACTCTCTGACCGCCATCGTGGTGGGGTGGTCGCCAACAACATCCCCCCCGGGCGCCCGAACGAAACAATCACGCCGCCTCGGCGCCGGCGGCGAGGGCGAGAGCGGCGGCGCAACCAGCGCTCGGGGCCGAGCACCCCAGCGCCAACACCACCGACATGACGGGTCGCCGCGGTCGCGCGAAGGTTCTCGGCCTTCCCCCTTGCGGCTAGAGTTCAACGACAACGAGGGCCGTGGCGGCGACATCGATCAGCTCCGCGACGACGTCGCCCGCCGCCTGTACAAGGAGAGATTGCTGGCCGGAAGGGGCGCCGCGGCCGCTTCCTCGCCGACCAGGCCCATTGGATCCCCGGCCATCACGCCGGTCACCGGGGGCGGGAGGGGAGCGTCCCCGGAGCACTCCCGGCCCACGTCGCCGAGGTCGGCCTCCCCGCGAGGCGCGACGAAGGGGCCCGGGAGATCATCTCCCCGCGGGAGCGTAAGAGACGGCGGCGGGGGGGGATCGAGGCCGGGGTCTCCGACTAGGAGCGTTTGCAGTGGTGCGTGTGGGTGTCGCGATTGTGGGTACCTGCTGTGCCCCGATCGGATTGCATGGTTGTGAGCCCTTCTCAACGCTTTCCTCCTCTCTCTCCCCTGTGCCACGGGTATGGGGAAACTTGTAATGCAGAATGCGTCCGTTCCGACTGCTTCACCTCGTCGCCTTCCGGATGGAACTATTTCTCCATGACTCTAACACCGGGAACAAACAACGGCAATGATTTTCGTGCACTGCTGTAGCCGGCTTTTGACACCAGCGCAAACCAAACCCTGAAAAAAAAAACGGGTTCTTCCTCGCTGGCCCCTACGCCCTCTCGTGCTCGGGACCTGTACCCACAGCGGCATCGGGATACACCCACTGCAGCGGGTTTTCCGTTCGCAGTCGCGGCCCCGGCCGCGGCAAGGGGGCGGCAGGAAACAGCGAGGCCGCCTTCATGGCGCAGAGTACGCTCACACCCGAGGAGCTGGACGGAATACTGAAGGTATACGCACACAACACGAATAGATTGGGCGAGCCCTTGTGCCCTCGTACGGGCGATAGGTAGAGGTGTCGTGTGTATCATACACCCTTGCGTTGGAATAAAATATCGGAGTCAACCTCCATTCTCTGTATGTACACAAGAGATGATTTTCGCGAAAAGTGTTCTGGGCGACGTTTTTCGTGATTGTTGGTGTCGAGATTTTCTTCTTTGGTGTGATTCCGAAGCTTGTTTGATGTCATTTGATGGGTTCGTCACATCGTTCAGCACAATCCCCACCTGACTTTCCCTTCCTCTTATGTCTCTGCCTCCCTCCTTCCCTCTCCCTCGGTCGCTTGTCACCCTGCGCTACTGCCGCACTGCCCAGGAGGAGCTGCTGAAGAGCCGCAAGTGGTCGGCTCGGAATCGCAACGCGCAAGACAAGATCTGCCGGGTGTGGGAGGAGCGGGGGGCCGACTACAATCGCCTGCAGCGGGAGTTCGAGGAGGCCGAAGCGATCCGGCAAGACAAAGCACGCCAGCGACGAGAAACGGAAGCGGCACAGGTAAAATTCAACCTTGAACCTATGGTGAATCTGACGTGCATATATATGCAATTGGCGGTCGGCGGTGCGAAACTGTAGAAATGAGTAATGTCGAGGTGCCCTGTATGTACCCAAGGGTCGTCTGTAGGCGGTTTAGCCTATATGTAGTTGCAGACCGAAGTCCGTGTAACGTTCAGACCGAAGTCGTGTGTCGCACAGACCGAAATCGATGTTGTTGCTAAATGCCGCTTTCGGGACTTGAACTTTCTTTCTCGCTTTCATCGCTTTCTTGCAAAGTTGAGATGTTGAAGGATAGTGGGGAATAAGCCTGGTGAGTAACGCGTGGTCATGCTGTCTTGAAAGGCTTTACTCTACTTGACTACTTGAATGACAGCCTCTTGTAACTTGCCCATGCTATCTTCTACTTCTCTATCTTCGCCACTTGCTACTACCGTCTCTCCAACCTTTCAAGACGTATGACCAAGCGTTACTCACCAGGCTCACTCCCAACTATCCGTCAACATCTCACTTTTGCAAGCAAGCTGTGAAAGTGAGAAATAAAGTACAAGCGGCATTTTGCAACAACATCGACTTCGGTCTCTGCGACACACGGCTTCGGTCGGAACAGACTTCGGTGTGAACATGACATAGACTTCTATCTGGAACTGCATATAGACTAAACCACCTGAAGACGACCCTTGGGTGCATACAGGGCACCCGACGTTACACATTTCTACAGAATCGATTATTTCGAGAGTTTGTACAAATCGACCTCACGGTTGACGAGAGAACAGGACGACTGAGAGCCCTTCTCGCGACAAGAGCAAAGGCAGACACGGCAGGAAAGTAAACGGTGGGCATTGCAACAAGAACGAACATGAAAAAATTTCTGTGTGACCTTCCTCCTGTGTGATACCGGCTGACGCGTCCAAGATATACACCGAGAGGCGTGAATACTGGCGCCAGAGAAGACGGGACAACACAAAAATATTCTGCTGTGTTTATAGCTCTAATGCACCCAAATGGTGCGCATTTTTCACGGTGTCGGGCTTGCTATAGATTGTGAGATACGAGATCAGGCTGGCTTTGTGTAGCCCGAGGTCATTCTTTACATGCCTTTCCACGCAGCCGGTGCACTCCGAGAACGCAGAAAACTTTCCCTTGAACAACGTATCCTGCTTTTGACAAACCAGGCAGCGGCTAAGGCCCGCCAGCGGGCGGCGCGTGCCGAGTCGGCCCTCCAACAGGCCAGGAGTTCGAGAGGCAGCCGGGACTCGAGAGCGAGGGAGGCTGAGGCTGCACACCGAAGGCGCATGCAGCAAATCACCGACAGGAGAGACAGAGGTCAGGTGGAGAAAACAACCTCTATTATGATTCATCCCCTAGATGACAAACAAAGGTCGGATAAACATTGCACGCCATGTGGGTGGAACGCAGTTTCGTTCTTGAGTCTCACTTCCTTCGCTGACACGCGTTAGCAACGCCAGGCGCTGCACTCGGTAACAATTGCGGACGTGTGTTCGTCGAACCAGAGCCCGGCTCCCATGCTTCGCTGTCGACCTTCTCGCCCGCCGCAGAGCAACGGATGCACGCGACGAAGGTGCAGGCGATGGACCGCCGAAGGGAAGACGTGCGCGACTCGTTCTTGGACATGGTGGACGCCGAAAACGAAACCGCCATTCAAGCATTGGAAACCCCGCTGGAGGTGCGTACCTTCAGCCATCCTCGCGTATGTATCCATTGATGAGCGGGCTTCTTCAGGCATGAACAATGAAGCTGAACAAAAGCATTGCAAGCCGCCGATTGCGGGGGTGGGGGCGGGGGGGACAACGTACCGTGCGGGCAACATCTGGGTTCTTCTTTTCCATGCGGCTCGCTATCCACCTACCTGTCTGACTTGGTCACTTCTGGTCGTGCTCTGCGGGAAAGGATCGCTCCAGTACCCGAGCGAGCACCTACAGACACGAACAGCGTATCTGACTCCTGCTTCTCCTCGACGTTTCTGCAACTCAAAAGCAACCTGAAACAACTTCGAAAGCACAAGGTTCCTCGGATGCGCTTCATCCATGGACTCGTCCACTATCTCACAACGCTTCTAGCTCCGCGCCATGCTATTGTTTTTCCTGAGAAACAAAACGATCTGCCCTGCTTTTTGGGGACTTTGAGGTCAACGACATGTCACTGTAGTCATAGATGGCAACGACATCCCCGTTTTATCTCCCACAGATGCTTAACCGGGCATTGGAGGAAGGAGACGAGATCTCGGAGAAGAAAGCGCGCCGTGCGATGTTGAGGCAAGCGGCTAGGGAACGAGTGCACGTGCGAGAGAAAGCAGCGAGAGTGTTGGCCGATCAGCGGAGGCTAGAGCAGAAAAACGCCGGGTAAGCTGGGTGGTAGTATCTTGTGTACGTTTTCCGCTCCCGCACTTCAACCGATTGGGTGCAGGACTTGTCAACAAAGGACGATGTTTGAATTTGCCGTACATTGACAGCCGTACCATGAGCATCGAATTGTTCCACTCTCGCCATGTGTCGCGAAGCCCGTATGTAGGACCAATAGTCCCCGTGCTGTTCGGTGGGTTCACACAACGAATCAAATTCGTAAACTTCCAGTCAAGGCAAGCCACCCCACAATGGTTTTAGAAAATTGTTAGCGTTCAAACGACCGTTGACAGGATGGGGGGGGGGGTCACACGTGTCGCCGCGCGTCGCACCAATCTCTTGTCCACGTACCGTACCCGTTCCTTGCTGTCATCAATCAGGCTGACCTTTGTTTACATTGTCGTGCCACCATTTCCCGCGCGACCCCGCACAACGTCTCGTTTTCCAACCGCTTCAACGCGTGCCATCGCATCACGAACGCGGGCGGAGCAGCTATCGCACCAGGCAACTAGTAGAATCAAGCATGATGCCTGGCCCGGGCCAGTACAACCTGCGAGACTTCTCCGAGTACGGTCCTTTCGGATCCACAGTGCTCTAGCGTGGTACTCTGTGCTCGCTATTGTGATATTTTAGTTTTTCATTGGAAGTCGCTCAACATTAGAATTTGTCTCGTGTACCGCAATGTGCATCGAGACACACCCAACACGGCGACAAATTTGCCGTGGCATTTTGAGGTATCAATTGTGCTCGTTTAGGAATATTGGGGGAAGCACGCTGTCGCTACCATCGATACAATAGTCTTTGAAGCCGCTACGTACGGCGACGATCATCGAGTCATGTTGCGCTACTGTAGGGGTTGTAGCCCGAACGGGTCTGATTGACGTGCTCCTCCTAGAGTTAGGAGCTCCCCGAGACTGGCAGGACGTTCCCGATTTTCGTTTCAATCTGGAAATACCATGCTAATCAAAGTAGTTATCGTGGCGACTTTCCACGTAAGTTTTTTTTTTGGCTGGGCTATAGACTAAGGTGCAGGGCTCCTACTTGTTACACAAAATAAAGCTTGAGGCTTTTTGAGGGCACCCCTACCGTGGCATCGACTCGTTCCATCGCCAACTTCGCCGACGACTATTAATAACAAACACACTCTGTTTCGAGCATGTTTGCTAAGGCTATTGTACGCAAGATGTTCACTGAAAGGTTCTTCGGAGTAGCTGGGCCAAGTTGGGCATATCCGACTCTACTGTACTTTGCTTTCACACTACAGTACTATCGAGCTTCCGACGAAGGACCGCATTGGTGGGGTGTCGATGGACGATCCAACCCAGTTGATGATATTTTCCGACAGCAGTGTGAGGTGGTTTTCCACCAACTGCGTCCCGGCGGGTGATCCAGATCGGACGCGAGGAACGCCAAGCTTGTCGTCCCCGGATAATACCAGTTGGGGGGCGTCAACAATGCTGGTTGATTAGAACCGGTGGCCCTGAATAGCGGCGGTGAAATTGTTGGATACAAACACGGCTGCATCACCAAGTCATTCTGTACGTTGAATGGCGCCGATCCCTCTGAAAAGCGCCGGTCGACGCGCAGGGCACATACCGGCGTTATAGAGGGCTCCCCACACCGAGATTTCTGCTGCTGAATGATGGTAGGTTGTGCTAAAAATGAGCAAGGTCAATGGTAGGCCTTTGTTTTTATCTCCTCGCGGATGCGGAGATGAGACCCTCGTGGTCCGCGGGCTAACTATAACCATGGTACAGACCGTAGTCTACAGAGAGAGGAGCAGCAGTGAACCCTTGTTCTACCCGAACCATTCCGACGTCGACATGCCCTTGAAGAGACTCGAAACACGCACTATCAAGAGGTGTGACGGCATCTAGGTGGTGTGGTCGGATATAATGAAGAGGTGCACGTCGCGGACAGATGTCGTGGTGAAAGTGTGTGAGGGTGTACCGCAGTACCACGGTACATGCAGCAGTTCACATATCTCGGTTGGCTGTCCGCTAAACTTGCAACGTTGCTCATACTTATGACGGACCTCAACTACCGGGTGTCGGCAACTTCTTGGGTCTCTGATATGTTGGGGAATGGAAGGGGCGAGGGAAGAAGAGGGACGTGGAGACGATGAGAGGTGAGAGGGAGAGAAAAAGGCGGACAAACTGATGACGGTTCGTATCATGACCGTTTCATTTTCTTCTTTCTTGATGAGGACATGAAGACCCACCGACCCACCGACCAACGGCCCATCGGGGGCGCATGCTGCTGTATGACTAGTCCACATGCACCCCGTATGTATTGGATGTACGTTTTCGTGGACTACTGATGCAGGTCGCCCGTTCTGGTTATCCAAGAAAAGAGCGTTTTCTCCACCGGCACCGGTGGTAATAAACGCTGTATCGTGGAAACTGTTCGACGATACCGCTCTCTGGTGTGCCTGCTACAGCAGCAATTGTTACTCGGATAACCTACATTTGAAAATAACTTGGTTGGAATCCCGCACACATTTACATTAGACTTTGTCCTCAGAGCCCGCCCCAGAACCTGCAACCTACGCTAGCCCTGCGTCTGTTGGAAATTGGTTCGGGCCGCGGGCGGGCGGCCAGTGATCGTATTGGTCCGTCCATTACTCGACGTTGTTTACCGATTCTACAAAAAAACACGTAATTGCGCAGGCATCAGCCTCAGCCTACACGAACACGCTATTAATTGCATTCATTCGTTCGAGTATACAGTCCTAAGCGGTGTGATCATTACGCACCCCAGTTTGTTTCGAATGTGAAAAACCGTAGAAGAAGTAGATTTACCCTGTAGCCAAAGCCAAAGCTCGGTGGAATCCGGAACTCAAGAGGCCAAGCGGACTTGGAGTGGGGGCATTTTCTTCCGTGTGATATCTACCTGGTCATGGTTTACCTACCCGCAAGGCTGATGGTAGCAGCGGCAACCATGGTAGTCAACAGCATTCTCGCTGCTACTACAACTGGTGTAGTTAATGTGGAAATTGTCGAAGATCTGAACTTTACAGACCTAGCCGACGCCGTACAGGTAAGCACCCCCTTTTGAGTGAAACCGTGATGGAAACGTTGTGTACCGTACCTTCTGCGTTCGACCTTGACATGCATACATGTATCGCGCATGAGCATTCTTTCATGTACGCCGGCCGGCCTGCACACCTGGTCTGCCGCAAGATGATGGAAGATGGGTAACCAACCACAGCAGAGTAAATAGCATTGCGAGAACACGTACTACAGAAGCCACGTAATAATTGAGAGGTCTGTTAGCTATATGTGCTCCGGGCACATATCTTTCCACAAATGACGATCCGTATAGGCCAGCCAGATGCTGATAAGAGCCATCGGCAGCTGGATTGTTGAAGAATAATGTCTCTTGTGCCAAGTCGTGCACTTAACAGTGCTAATCATCAACGTTGAAGAGTTGGTGGAATATTTACGTAGTCTACCCCGAAAGCAGGCCTGATCAACTCCTCCTAGGACACCACTATGTCATTGCATGTAGGGGCACCCTTTCTTGGTTGTTGCGTTCTACTCTCCGGGATGCGGGCACTGCCGGCGGCTCCTCCCGAGTTGGACGCAAGCGGCCCAGCTGATAGAGGACCAGCGTTTACCCATCCGACTCGCGAGGATGGACGTTTCGAGCAGGGGAGGAATGAACGCCTGGAAGGCATTCGGGTTGAAGAGGCTGCCCACGGTAAAGGTGAATTGTGCACTTTGTGAGAGTCAAGCGATGGGCAGTCCAGACGGTCCTGGGATGGTCTGTTGCTGGGATACCTAGCCTCGCTCACATGGCTGCCCTCCGATTCTACCACATAGTCAAACCTTCCTTTGCGTGGAAAAAAAGCACGGGTGTTTCAACCGGAGACGTTTTCGGTACTCCGGAGCCGTGGCTGTACAGCGCCTGTTGTGGTGGCCCCCTTGCTGTCTTTGCGAGGCGACATTGATTGGAGATGGCGTCGATTCCTCCGACGGTTTTGTCCCCTCCATTCCTCGCCGATCTCTATGTGGGCGGGGCTACAGGACCGAGCGCTTAAATATATCGTTGCTAATGCTCTTGGACTTTGATGAACTTCCTCAGGTGTTTGTAGGAAACAATCCAGATGAGCCTCTGCCATACGCCGGCCACCTCGACGCTAACGGCATTGCGGCGCATCTGGCGATGTTGGAAAGGGTGAGTTTCCAGACGTTATTTCTTAGCGTTGATCACCCCTCGTGTGTGGCGTCTTGCGCCAACAGCCAAGCTTTCTTTCAGGGTTAGAGACTGCGGTAGAGTACGGTCTGCTTGGTCTGCAGCATCATTGATTGAAACGATCCTAAGCAGATCTGGGACATTTCCCCTCTGTGGCGACGTCGTAGAGCCGCAGCCGCATGCCCACCAACTTCGCGCACTTTCCTTGCCAACCGTGGATATATCAACGCCCATGAAACGTGACGAAGGACCGGAGGCGCGTTCTCGAACACCAAAAGAAGTATTTCAGCCCCGCGACAAAAAGACTTGGCGATTCCAGTGGGGGTGGCGGTGACGGAAGTGGCGCGTCCGACCTCGGGATCTCAAAGCTTGAGCTGGACACGTCGGGCGTGATCCTCGTGTCGCTTGCGGTTAGATCCAATACTGCCGCTGATGATGTGTCCTCTTCGCGGACGATGTCCCTCGCCGATAGGTTTCGGGCGGCTGTCGGACAGGAAAGGGCTTCTTTGGTACTCTTCGCGCCGGAACGTGAGCCGAGGTCGTCTCGGATGTGTGGTACCATGCTCGCACGCTGTCGATGATACCATTTCCCTCTCCGCGGCTGGGGATTTCTCGACCTAATGAAAAACGTGCGCACGAGGCGCCTGTTTTGTGGTTATCGCCAGGCACCATCTTGCGGGCTCATTGATCTAGAGTAGCGATGTACGCATTGATCAGGAAGACCGGTTCATGTGGTATCGTAACGAGCAGTTACGTGAGAAATGCCAAATTTGATCCACGTCGGGTGGGAATTTTTCTTTACAGTTAGTTAAGTATCTTACCTCCCCAATCCTGCTCAAACTTAATGCGATCCAAGCCTCTAAAGAGCCGAGAGCGCTCTCTGCTCCTGGAACGCGTCACCTTGCCTCCCCACCCATCTCCCACCCACCCCGACCGCCGTATCGCGCCGCGAAAGCTTCTCCGAAGGCCCGGCGCTTGATAAAGGAGATCCGGAAGGCGGCGCCAATCCTGGCCTTGCGGGACCCCCCGACGAAGGTCATACTCGTCGACTTCCAAAACGCCAGCGGTGGCGGCGGTGATGATGGCAGTCGCGGTACCGCAGTACTCCACGAAGACGGGAGTCGAAGAAGGCAGGGTAGCAGCCGTAGCGGCGATCCAGCTCTTCCAGCCGGTACGGAGGACATCTTGGCCAAGCGGCAGCTTGCGGCGGACATCGGGGTCACCTTCGGAGAAGGGCCGGAGCTTAGGTACCGCTCGCTGTACAGCAATAGGGAGGCGTTGCTCTATTTAGCAGATACTTTGTTGCATACCTTCGCCGTATCTCCAGCAACGTTGCATGGTGTTGCTGTGTCCAGCGGTCTCGGTGTATGTAGAACCGTCTTGGATCCTTACTTTAAGGGAATTTCATCTTTGTACTACTGACTGCCGACCCTGACCATCCGTAATCAGGACGTGGGTACTGGGATTAGCCATGCAAAAACGTGTTTCACGCGGAGTCTATTGAACGCCCCCGGGTAATGCATGTATCTCGATCACGATGAACGGCCCTCGGCATATGCGTGTATCCCGATCGTGATCGTCGGGGATTTGCTGACCATGGCGCAATTCAGAGTACGCCGCCTCGACATGCACCCCTTGGTCAACAAGTCAGGGATAGTTGTACATACCAACACGTCCAACACCCGCCTGGGTTGTCAACCCCTGCCGCTGTGTCTGCAGGATATTTCTTGACGGGAGGCTTTGGGTCGAAGGAGGCGTGTTTCGGGGTTTGCCTACCACCGACGGGATCTTGCAACACATGGACTGGGTTGCGGACGAGGTAAATAACGTTTGGACCACGGAATGAAGTATCTACTGCTATAAATTCTCTATTATCGAGGAGGTACAGGCTAGAAAAACATGTCTAGTCGTGACCAAAGACTCTTTTTGTAAGGCTATGTACGGCCGTGCGTTTTCTCACCGGCCTCGTACTATATCCACCGACCTCATGCCGTGTAGTATGCGCGGCGATTCGTCGCGAGAAGATGGGCAAAACCGTTTTCTTCATCCTGCCTAGGCTGCTGAGAGTACTCCACTCTCGCGGCGTTCTTGTGTTTGATCCACTCTCGGTATCCAACACGAAGCCCAAAAGACAGGATCGCACCAGTCGCGGGTACTTGTGTGCTGGCGGCAGCAAGCAGAGCATGCGACCTAGAGCACGCTTTCCCTCACGAGACCACACCTTGTACAGGTCTCCCGGAAATCAACGTTTTATTATGGCATTCCATAAGCGAACGCAGAGCTAGTTGGCGACACGCATGCACGGCTGACGACTGTACCCCCCGTGGGAGGCTCTTCTACATGTAGTCGCTACCGGTACGATAGCATTTCGTGTAACATTCATGATGCTTTGCGCTTCCGAAACCAAGGCCACCAACACACGGGTTGAGTGTAGCCCAAGACCTCGACAACAAAACCTACGCTCTCTCATGCATGCTTCCTCGTCGGTGGCTCGTGCTTCCAGTGATAATCAACACATACACGTCCCATGGCCTTACTCTGTCATCGATCGCAGGCCGGGCTTCTACCGCAACACGAAAGAGCGACGATGAAGGCTACTCAAGGGGGTGGAAGATCTACATTTGATGGCCACCAAATCATGGCAACACCCGTAGCCACGGCCGACAGCTTGGTAAATGTCTCGTCAGAAGCCTGCCCCGCATCCTCGCGTTGTACTAACCACGCTGGGGGCGTCACATGCCAGGACGAGGACTGAGAATACAGAAGGAGGATGATCGTTGTGCTCGGGATGCGTGGGCAAAAAGAACTGCATGTAGTGACATATATATGTGGAAAAGTCCCAACAGGTTCAGCACGCCCTACGTACTGCAGGGCAAACAGTTTTTTTCTGCTTTTTGTTTTCGCCCCTTTGCATCTGAGTTTGCTCCCCGGGGCGTTTTCATTCTCGCCTTACTATTTCTTTACCCGCCCTATCCTATGCGTACCATGAATTGAAAAAAATGCTGTTACTGTAGTTGTTGTTGTTGTTGTTGTTGTTGTTGTTGTTGTTGTTGTTGTTGTTGTGGTCGTTTTCACTGATACTGCTGCTCTAGTATATTTTTTGGATGCGTCCGCATGGAGCCCACGAAGTGGACACGCTACTCTTGGCGTGGAACGCGGTGTTGGTCGGTATATACAGATGACGAAGCTCGGAGAAACAAAACGTTCTCGTGCGTGTGTACATACACTGCAGAGTAAAAATCGGAATCGGAGAATTGGATGGGCCACCCATTTTCGTGCCACTTGAAAGACCACTCACTATATAATACATCCAGTTACTCCTCCTCCTCCTCTACATACTTTCAAAGGAATGCATGGCATCCTCCCTCTACCTGACGATGTGGGTGTGATGCGGTGATGCAACTCACTCTTGTATTTCACCCACCACGCGGCGGTGGTAAAAAAATACGGACAAATGCATAGAAGAAGCCTTACTATTATATATTTCGGAGTGCGGAGATTTCGGCGTGCGGAGTGATGAAAGCGCGCGCAGGAAGCGAGCACCTGAGAAAACGAGCATGGAGTCCACGAACTGGACGCGCGCTAAAAACTGCTTCTCGAGGGAGGAGGTTTACGCTACTACTATAATACTTAGTGGGAGCCCTAGTACTATGTATAGTGCCAGTGCCGGTCACCACGCGGCGTTTCGGGCCTGTACGTAAATGCACTGAAACGTCGTTCTGTATATAAGTCGTTCTGTACTCTGAATACAGCAGCATTCATTGTAGAAAAACCTCGGGACACACCCCGGGTCTTATAGAGCCCCCCCCACTGCTGTAATATCGTTTGTCGGTGGTTATGGGCAGGCGAGAACGATTTGCGCTACCTCAAAGCTGTCGACGTGGTTGTCAAAGCACGTCGTCCCCTGACGACGATGGGTGTACATTTACATTGTTCGCACAACAGTCTTTTGCGCCTCACGGCGGCCGCGCCCTAGGCACGCATTATGCGAAAGAATCGACATTTAGCAAACGCATGATGTATAGCATGTCATGTATTGAGAGTGCGGAATGCGGAGAGGAAATGTCCGGCAGTCTACTACTGCTGTAGTCGTTTATGTCGTTCCCCCTCAACTTGTAATTGTATATGTTGGCATGTCGCGGAGTACTCGCGAGCTGTGTGTGTGTGAGCTGAGACAGACAGACAGCGAGATAGATACGGACACGGACAGACGACACAGACAGAGAGACCGAGAGAGGAAGAAAAAGTTAAGAGACAGAGAGAGAGAGACAGAGAGCCAAAGCGCGCTGGATATAATGTGGCGCTTGAAGGGTGGCGAGCTTTTGGCCGCCACCAATGGGCAAACGCCCACGAAATCGAAGCTCTTCGTCCAAACCCCATCACCCCATGCACCCAGCACCCCGATACTTCACCACTCCTCATCACTTATTTGTATATTGCGTACGAAAACGCCCTCCACGCGAATGATGACTGACTCAGCGGGCCCGGCACATCCTTGCGGTTCGGCAGGTGAGTGTTCTGGCATGCGTCAACGTGTTGTGCGTGATGTTGTTGCCAAACGCTACAAACAGCCCGTGGTTTCGCAATGCAGGGATGGCCGACAAGGAATTTGACGCTGACTCTTTTCTATTATACAATTCCAATACAGAGAAGGAACAACCCGCTAGGGTTACCTTGTCTGTTCTACTATCATCAGGAGAGGGTACCATGAAGAGGCGTCGTGCGTGCTGACAAGTTCAGGTTTTTAGGAAGTAAACATAGCCTCAGGTTTGCTACTTGTATGGAGCTGAAATATCGAAAGTTGTGCGTACAGCTCAATCTGGGTCTCCTCATAATAAGAAATGTCCAATAAGAAACAGCGGCGACCGCTGCCCTACTACATAAGAAACGAGGGGTTACGGGGGAGTGTGTGTGTCGAACAAGAAACACCCCACAGCTCCTCCTATCCCTTGCTCTTTCCCCCCTCTCCTACAACCCCCGCCCCGTTCCCAGTGCATTTTTAGTTGTACGACGAGGGGGGAGTGTGCTTTTTTGCGGCGCCCCCTCCGGCCCCCTGCCGGCTCTGTCTGGCGCTCTCTGGCGCCCCGGCTCTGGCACAGCACACCAGACAGGCTGCGAACAACGATATGCTGTCTGCTGTACGGTGTTGATGGTGCTCTCCGCCAGCTCTGGTGAGGGCAATCATTTGTTTAGTTTGAACGTTGTGTAATTAAGCAAGAAGAGAAAATAAGAAATTGCCGATGTAAGAATTCAACAGCATTATTTGGCGGCACGAAAAAAAAAGAAACTCGACACAAGAAATTGAACGACATAGGCTGAGTTTATAGCCCACAATGAGAATTCGAGGCTGGACCTGAAATAAGCGTTTCTTAATTGCGGGCGCTAACTACCCATAGCAGCCTCTGAAAACAGTCCGAAATCTGCGCCGGAACGAAGCGAACCCAACATTTGTCGCAGCCGTGCTCGCCGCTACTGACCCCAATCTCCTGAACCGCGGGTTTACAG